AGGGCACAATTTGAGAGCCCTCTAGTCTTGCTCACATCACTCGTTTACTGGTACTTTGTAAATTGAGTGATTGGGTCATTTATATAAAGAATTGCAGTTTTGACCTTAAAAGCACAAATGAATAGAACAACAAGCTGCACTGTTGAATGCAATAATAACACCCAAGGGAAGCCACACTCCTCAGACCCTGAAGGGCTACTTCAGACACGTTGTTCATCAGGCAGCACTTCACAGATTTGTGGGCATAGAGTTTTCCAGGTGATAATGACTCTGGAGGGCTGGCCTTGAAACTCCAGTTTCTCAGAATGATGACAAAGATCATCTTTATAAACATCTTAGAGTAGAAGAACGGGGCTCTGAGATCAACTGGTACCCTCCATTGAGCAAATCCATCTGTCCACAGCCTATCCACATAATGCCTGTGAGCCAGGCTTGCTTGCTGTCTAACTCAGCTTCTTGGGGCTGGTGGCCAGTGTCTCTGAGGTCCTGGAGAGGGTAGGGATGAAACTGGGCCTGTGACACTGTGGAGAGGGGAAACAGTGTTTGGTATCCTGACCTGTGCAGAAGGCAGGATTACTCCCAAGCAGGATCCAGGACCCTATTCTGGAGGGTATCTGCCCATCTGCCCCTCCCTGTGATACTCTTGCCTTTGACCAGCTCTAGCTAGAAATGTGTGTAGACTGTCTTGTATTCTTTTTCCAAGGGAAGGCCCCGATTTGACCTACATTTTGCTTCTTCCATCTGGCCCAAACTGTCTGTTGAAATGATGCCTGAAAAGACATCCTGCTTGGTGAGTGAAGCTGTCAGCTGCTGGAGAGCTTGAGTTTTCCACTAAAGATCCCAATGCCAAGGGCTGACTCCCCGCTTCATTACAATGTCCCTCCGCCGAGGACCTTTAGGATTAATTTAAATGAGTTTGAGACTCTTGAAAACAAGGCTCACATCCAGGAGATTCAAAGTGATTTACCCTCCTTTCCATTTGTAAACAGGAGATTTTAAGGACCACATCTTTATTCCACATAGGACAGAATTGAGGCCCAGCAAGGCTAACTAACTTTTCTCAGATGATGGAGCCTGTCACTGGTAACAACATTCGTTCATTCAACATTGACTGTTCACTAGGATGGCGGTCTGTTGTAGCCCAGTGCTTTGGTGGCCTGACAAGGACCACAAAGTTGTGGACCCCGCCTGTGCCTGGATCTGCCCCTCTACCTTACCTTCGGCTTCACTTTCACTCAATAGAAAGTTCCAGATCTTCAGGCATTGGGTGGGATCTGAGTGGTCTTAAGATATAGCGTAAATAAAAATTTAATTCAAGTGCTCTTGAGAGAGGTAACACTTTGAGTTAATTTCCAACCAACATCCCAAGGACTTCTATCAGATTCTATGCCATGTGGTTTTAGATGAAGGGAGACAGAAGGAAAGGACTGGGCTCCATCTGAAGAGGGCAGTGCTGTGGGGTGGCCAACAGAGCTGAATGCCTTGTCTCTTTGGGCAAACTTTGCCATGTCGTCAGCTGCTTCTGCACTCACTCATCTGCCTTGTCTTCCCTCCATTCCTCTTAGGTCACTCACTAGTCAATTTGTGGGAGGCTTATTTACTTCTTAGTCTGTGACTAGGTTGCCTGGGGTTCTGGGGCAACACGTGCTCAGGAATTGGTGAAGTTAGGAAGCAGAGACTGAGTTTACCAGGGCGATGAAGGAGGAGTTGGCATTCCTTTCTCTGTTCCCCGGTTCTCTGTGTCTTGTTGGTCCTAAAGGAAATTATTTTTCAAAGGAAAGCTTTCTGTTTTGCATATGGCTTATTTTCATGAAAAGATTGCAGTCCCTAAACTTCTGAGTCTAGAATAGGGTGTGGGGGTAGTGATGGTGGTAGGGCACTGGCTGGAGCCTGCTATATTCTTAGTGTGTATTGGTGAATTTTATGTGTCAGTTAGACTGAGCTAAAGGATGCCCAGATAGCTAGTAAAACCTTATTTGTGGGTGAGCCTACGAGAGGTTTCCAGAGATATTAGTGTTTGAATCAGTAGACTGAGTAAAGGAGATCATCTTCACCAGTGTGGGCAGGCACCATCCAATCTACTGAGGGCCTGAATAGGACAAAAAAGGCAGAGGAAGGGTAAATTTGCTCATTTTGCTTTGGCTGAGGCATCCATCGTCTCCTGCCCTTGGACATCAGTGCTTCTGGTTCTCAGGCCTTCAGATCCCGGCCAAGATTTACACGATTGGCCCTCCAGTTTTCAGACCTTTGGATTCAGGCTGAATTACATCACTGACTTTGCTGGTTCTCTAGCTTGCAGATGGCAGATTGTGGGGCTTGTTGGCCTCCATAAATGCATGGGCCAATTCCTATAGTGAATCTCCTCATGTATTATCTCTCTCTCTATATCCCATTGCTTCTGTTTCTCTGGCGAATACTGACAATACAGTATGTTAAGATAAATTACCCCCAAACCATAAACAAAACCAGGAGTGATTCTGATATCATCATTAAGTGTTGATCAACAGGTTCACCATGGATTATTTAATTTTCTGAGAAAGTGTTATTACTCTGACATCTGTGGAGTTCCAGGTGAACACGGAGGTTTTACCTGGTAGAGATGCAATTGTCTTCTTCTCTTCTTCACTGGGCTCAAGACCAGTTGTGATGGCTCAACCCAGTCTGCCTAAACTTTTTCTTTTTTCCTCCCCAACAGGACCTATGATAGGTTTTATTTTTCTCTCTTCCCCATTTATACAACCCACATTCCTAGCCCTGTGCTTTCTCCCCTCCCCTGGCAATTTGTAAGCTGGAGTAATTCAGTGGATTTAGGAACTCAAAGCTAGAAGTGATCAGGTAAAAGAGAAGCCATTTAGCCCCACACCCTGTACCTCAGATTCCCCAGACAATTTGGTAGGGATGTGGGGATTCTACTACACATGGAACAGGGCTCAAGCCAATTTTATTTGAATCTCAAAAAGATATAGGAAAAAAAACAAAATCTTAAAAAAAAAAAAAAAAAAAAAGAGGGGCTGGCCCCGTGGCCGAGTGGTTAAGCTCGCGTGCTCCGCTGCAGGCGGCCCAGTGTTTTGTTGGTTCGAATCCTGGGCACGGACATGGCACTGCTCATCAAGCCACGCTGAGGCAGTGTCCCACACGCCACAACTAGAAGGACCCACAACTAAGAATATATAACTATGTACTGGGGGGCTTTGGGGAGAAAAAGGAAAAAAAATAAAATCTTAAAATAAAAAAAATATTAAAAAAAAAGATATAGAACGTAATTGACATCTGGGCTTCATAATAAATTCCACCTCCTTTTTCCCCTCTTAAATTAGTAAGGATGATTTCTGTTACAATAAGGGAGCATTTTGTCTAAAGACATAAAGGTAATTTGATTTTGACTCAAAAAAATTGTATGGTCTGTCAGCTTTTAATTTTGTTTAAATTGGCCATTTTTATAGAAATGATAGCTCACTATTGCTGTAGAGCACATTCTGGTCCCCAGCTGATTACAGTGGAGGTCTCTGTACTGGGGCTCCATTCTCTCCTACAGTCAAGTGGCTACTATTTCTCTCCTATACTCAAACACCATATGGACCGTTTCTGCAAAATCATGTATTCAGAAGGGCAACATTCCCTATGGAACCTTTCAGGGAAGGTTGCTCTGGTTGAAATGTATCATTTTCACTGTTTGGTATTCAATAACTCTTTCTTTTATTATTTTATTGAGGTTACATTGGTTTATGACATTATGTAAATTTCACGTGTACATCATTATATTTTGCCTTCTATGTAGACTGCATTGTGTTCACCACCAAAAGTCTAGTTTCCATCTGTCACCATATGTATGTGCCCCTTCACCCCTTTTACCCTCTCCCACACCCTTCCCCTCTGGTAACCACCCATCTGTACTCCTTATCTATGTATTTTTTTGTTTGTTTATCTTTCACATATGAGTGAAATCATACAGTATTTGTTTTTCTCTGACTTATTTTGCTTAGCATAATACCCTCATGGTCCATCCATGTTGTTGCAAATGGTATGATTTCATCTTTTTTATGGCTCAGTAGGATTCCATTGTATATATATGCCACATCTTTATCATTTCACCCAGTGACTGGCACTTAGGTTGCTTCCAAGACTTGGCTATTGTGAATAAAGCTGTGATGAATATACAGGTTTATATGTATTTTTGAATTAGTGTTTTCATATTCTTTGGATAAATACCCAGAAATGGAATAGCTGGATCATATGGTATTTCTATTTTTAATTTTCTGCGACATCTCTGTACTGTTTTCCATAGGGGCTGCACCAGTTTGCATTCCCACCAGCAGTGTATGATGTTCCTTTTTCTCCACATCCTCTCCAACACTCGTTATTTCTTGCCTTTTTAATAATAGCCATGCTGATGGGTGTGAGGTGATATCTCGTTGTAGTTTTGATTTGCATTTCCCTAATACTTAGTGATACTGAACATCTTTTCATGTGTCTGTTGGCTCAATGGTCCTTTCTATATCTTGGAATTCTCAAGATAGAAGGAAGGTAGAATCTAGCTCCCATTTCTGAAGTGAAAGGAGGTCCCATTTCCACCTCCCAGGGCTCTGAAAGAAGTGTGGATGTAGGATATCAGTGTTTGTAGGATATCCATGCTGGATGTAGTATGCTAACGGACGTAGAATATTTGTGCTACCAAACAGGTGGATGCTCCTGCCTGGGACTTGAACTTCAGGGAATGATGAAAAGGTTTAGGATCTGTTAGAGATGATACGTGGTTGGATACAATAGAGAGTGGTGTGGTGGCTAATGTAGGTGGCTTTGTCCAAAAGCTGAGCAGTGGTGAATGCTCAGGGGCAGCAGCGCCAGCCATAGCAATGGAAAATGCCCACAGGTGATGCCCCCTATGGTGGCAGCCTGTACAGACCATTGTTGTGGCAGGCTCTTAGCTGTGGCTTGCCTCTCTTGGTTCCTGTCCTGGCTGGTTCTCTAGTCTTGTATTTTATTGGCTGCCAGACACCTTTCTAACAAATTCTTTTTCTGCTCAGGTTAAGAACCCTAATTTGAACAGCAGCCTTGACATCTTTATTCCTTAGGCTGTAGACCAGGGGGTTCAGCATGGGAATCACAATGGTGTAGAACACAGACAAGATCTTGTTATAGGCTGAAGCACTTTCAGGGTTGGGTTGGAAATATACAAGGAACACAGACCCATAGAAGAGGGAGAGGGCAGTGAGGTGGGAGGCACAGGTGGAGAAGGCCTTGCGCTGGGCCTCCAAGGACCTCATCTTATAGATTGTGACCAGGATGTAGGCATAAGAGACCAAGATCACTGAGATTGTGGGGACAGTGACCAAGGCAGAAAAGAAGAGCAGGATGATATTGGCCACCGTGGTGTCTGAGCAGGCCAGTTGGAGCACGGGGGGGATGTCACAGAAGTAGTGATCAATGACATTGGGACCACAATAGGGCAAGATGAAGGCATTCCCTGTCTGCAGAGCTGAAATAAACACCCCCATAGCATAGGTGACAACCACTAGCTGGACACACAAGCGCTTGGACATGATGGTGTGGTAGAGGAGAGGGTGGCAGATGGCCACAAATCGGTCATATGCCATGATGGCCAGGAGCAGACACTCCCCTGTGCCGTGGAGGATCATGAGGGCCATCTGGGCCACACAGCCTGCAAAGGAGATGGACTGGTCAGTGGTGAGGAAGCTGATCAGCAACCTGGGAGTAAACACAGAGGAATTACAGATGTCAAGGAAGGAAAGCACACTCAGGAGGAAGTACATGGGGGTGTGCAGTGTGGAGCTGGCACGGATCACGTCTATCATGCCTAGGTTGCCCACCAGAGTCATGGAGTAGATCAGCAAGAAGATGGCAAAGAGGAGTTGTTTTTCGTCTGCCTGGTCTGTGAGGCCCAGCAGGATGAATCTCGTCACTGTGGTGTGATTCTGCCCCAATTCCATCTCACTGGTGTGTTTCCCACAGGACAGTGAACAAGAGGAGGAGAAACAAGAACGTTAACATTCTCATCAAAGAGCTAGCCTTTCTCATCTTCTAAAGCTGAAAACCTGCATCTGTCTCTGAGTGGCAGACTGCTCTCCAAATCCCACATCAATCCCATCATGTCACACTCACGCTAAAGTGTTAAAGTTTACCCCTGTCTCCCCAAGATAATGTCTAAGTTCTTTAGCCCGCCAGATGTCCTCTATGAAACACCTCCAGGCTACCCTGCTCTCACTTTACCCTCAGCAATTCTGAACAATTTATTTCTGCAAACACATCACGTTGTTGCAAATGTCTTTGCCTTTCCATAGTCTGTATTTTCGTCTTGGAATGTCCTTTGGTCTCTCCAAACCCAGCTTAGAGGTCTGTCCCCTTCCTCTCTCCCTTGAATTTCATAGATGTTCCTGTAGTTGAATCAATGGCACTATTTAATGATAAAAAATGTCCATGCATCTTTCCTATTGGGTTTTCTTACTCCTGGTAGGAGGAGAGTTGCTCAATATCTCAAATAATCTGTTCTCTGATATCTATCACAGTTTGTCATTAGTGCTGTCAAGTTGATTCTAGCTTCTGGTGCCCCTGTGTACAGCAGAGCAAAAAACCCTGACCGATCTTTGTGCACCATCCTCTCACCTTCCTATGCTATATCAGACAATGCTCTGCTGCTATTCACAGGGTTTTCATGGCCAGTATTTTTGCAAGTGGGTGGCCAGGTCCTTCTTCCTGGTCTGTCTTAGTCTGGAAGCTCTGCTGAAACCTGTTCACACGGGTGACCCTGCTGGCATTTGAAATACCCATGGTGTAGCTTTCAGCATCACAGCAACATGCAGCTGCCACAGTATGACAGCTGATGACAGGTGGTGTGATTCCCTGACTGGGAAATGAACCCAGGCCACAGTGGTGAGAGCACAAAATCTTAACCACCAGACCACCAGGGCTGGCTACCTATTACCATGCCTGCTGTCAATGAATGAATATTAATTATCAGTTAGACAAGAAAATCTTCCTCATCAGGTAATGATAACTTGATCCTTTCAGTTGTTTTGGCCTAAACCTTTTAGCCATTTTTGACCCTTTTTTCTCCCACCCCTGATAGAATCCCTCAGCAAGTCGTATTGGCTCTACCTTCAAAATATACGCCAACTTCCTACCCTTTCTTTGCAAGACACTGTAGGGGAGGAAGACATTTCCTCTACCTGCTCTGGGTCCTTCTGGGAGGAAAACAAATCAAATTCACATGAGACAGAATAACAGGAGAAAATTAAAAAAGATTTATAACACGTGTACATGGGAGAGGCTCAGGCAAACTGAGCAACTCACCAAAATGGCTGAAGCCACCACCTTAAATATCATCTTTGTGCTAAAGACAAAGGAGGATGTTGGGGGTCCAGGGGAGTCAGTTATGGGAGATTACGAGAAAAGTACAGTAAACAAGAGTAAGGTTATTATGCAGATTTAAGTCCTTGCCTGCATTGATAAGAGTTTCTAGAGATAAGGTCATCCCCCCTTCTTCCTGGTACAGACAGGGAGACACCTTTACAGACAGAGATTTCCTTTACAAATGTAAGTATCTTTTACAAAGGGTAAGTAAATTCTACTTTTCAGAGTTTCTTTCCTGTCTGCAATTTTTAAAGTAACCAGCCCAAAATAATCCTCATGCCAAAGAGATATATCTTGGGGTGGCCAATTCCAGTGTTCCACAATACCATCATGTCTTGCTTGGATTATTGCAATTCTTCTTAACTGGTGTCCTGCTTCCCTTCGTGAAGAGCAGTCGGATGATTCTGTTAACACACAAGAGAAAGTCAGAACCCACCATGGCCCTCGAAGCCTCCCTCTGTGAGGTTGGTCACTTCTCTGTAACTCCCTTTCCCTCTCTGTCCTCTTTTTCTCCTCCTCTCACACTTGTCTACTCTGCTCTAGCTAAGTCTGCCTCCTTGACCCTCTTAGGACACGCCACGTGTGATTCAGGACCTGTGTGCTAACTGTCCTCTCTGTTCAGAACACTCCTGCTCCATCCAGTTAGCCACATGGCTCTTCCCTCTCCTCCTTTATGTTCAGGCTCAAATGTTGCCTTCTCCTGAAGCTTTCCCTAAGCGTGCTATTTAAAACTAAATCCTGAGCCAACCCTGATGGTCTTGTGGTTAAAGTTTGGCGCTCTCACTGCCTTGGTGACCTGGGGTTCGTTTCCTGGTCATGGAACCACACCGCTTGTCAGTTGCCATGCTGTGGTGGCTGCTCACATAGAACTAGAACGACTTACAACTAGGATATACAACCATGTACTGGGGACTTTGGGGAGGAACAGCAAAAGGAAAACTAAACCCTCTCTTACTCTAGCACTCACTACCCTTTTCTCTATTTAATTTTTTCCTCATAGTATTTATTCTTCTCTAACATGCTATATCCACATGCCTTATTAATTGTGTTTATGATCTTTGTCTTGATATTAGGATGCAAGAGCCGTGAAACTAGCCATTTTTGTCAGTTTTGTTCATTGCTGTATCTCCAGTGCCTGGCACATAGTAAGCGCTCAGTAAACAGTTGTTGAATGGGTAAATGAAAGCTACAAGGAAGATACAGATGCTTCAGGACAAATCAGGCTGCCAAGAGGATAGTGACTACCCAGATGAGTGAGTGCAGAATTCCGGTTACCCAAATCAGGTGATAAAAATTGGAGAAGGATTATGATAAGAATGGGGTAAGGGTAGGATTGAAAGCTGGTAGTCTAATGGTGAAGATTCAGTACTCTCACCGCTGCAGCCCAGGGTCATTTCCTGGTCAGAAAACAACACCACCTGTCTGTTGGTTGTCATACTGTTGTGGCCGCATGTTGCCGGGAGGCTGAAAGCTATGCCACTGGTATTTCTAATGCCAGCAGTGTCACCCATGGTTTCAGTGGAGCTTCTAGACCAGAGAGACTAGGAAGGAGGACCTGGCCACACAATTCTGAAAAAATTGGCTATAAAAACCCTATGAATAGCAGTGGAAAATTGTCTGATATAGAGTTAGAAAGTAGAGAATGGCACAGAAAGACTGGGCAGGATTCTGCTTTGCTGTGCAGAGGGTTGCTAGGAGTTGGAATCGACTCAACAGCACTAATAACAAGAATTGAAGGATGATTCACTATGTTGTGAAACTCAATCCCAGCTGAAAGCTGGGGCCTGTAGGGCCTTGTTGTCATAGCAGCAGAACCTGACTGTAGGAGAGGGCTCCGCTGGTAACATGCAAGGTGGGTTGAACCCTCTGGGGAAGAGCACCCATTTCCCTTCTTCCAATCTTGAGGTTTTGACCCAAACTCCTGAATCCATAACACTCATCTTAAATCACTGACAACCATAAATATGTAATTCCAGTTTCTGTGGAAGTCTTAGGATGATTCTTTTCAGATGAATGTACCATTACCTATATTGATAATTTTCTGTAAGATCTATTTACAAGACAATAAGTTTGTGTAACAATTATTCAATATGAATTTCAATACATCTTTGAATATACACATACTGAGTATGTATTCTATTTAAGGTGTTTGAAACATTTAAGAGTATCTGCTTAATTTGAGGATGATCAGGATTGAGGATGATTAGCTAAACTGAATTAACTAAATGTATGTTTGATTGACTTTGCTAGAATACTGAACAACATTGGATTTATTAAATGTACACATTTTTATTCAGTAATTTTCAGAAATTATTTAAATGCTTATGAAGCTCTTTGAAAGGCTTGGGAAATCAGGTACGTTAAATTCGTGACTGTAGCTTGAAAATTTTAAGAGCATTTAATTAATCAAGTTTATAAATAGAGTTTAAATGTTTAGGAGAATTTGATTCCATGGTTTTTTGTGTGTGTGACTTGACTTTGAATTGTTTAGAGAATTTGATTGTGAACAGTGCTTAAATTATTTGGGGGAATTTAATCCATTAGATTTTGGACTAAGAGAACATTACTCAAAGATCAAATGTGATTATTTTAAATGTTAACACAAACATTACTACATAGGTAATTAAATATTATATTTGGAAATTGCATTTAATGGCCTAAGGAAAACTAAGTTCTAAATTTACAAGTTAAAATATTATAATCAACTAGCAAATGGCTTTATTTAATCCTTTCCATGCACAAAAGATCCGGACATTAAAAAAAAGTTGCTTGTAACAGGACATGTTGTGGGAGCTTGCTGTGGATTTGAATGTACAGAGTGGAGAAATATGGAGGAGCCACAGGACTGAGAACTTTAACTTTCTGAGGAGTGGGGTGTGGTGCAGGGAACTCTCCTGAGAGCTGCCAGGTCTGGGTATGGTTCTGGGTTCTTCTGTGCTTTGGGATGTGACACTGGGCAACTCACTGTAGGAAGCTGAGCCCTACGTACTCCTCTGTGAATTGTGGAGGACAACTCTTGTCTGGGGTTCTGGGACTCAGGGAAGGACTGAGACAGTAAAAACAGAGGTGCTGTGAAAAGAATGAAGTATTTATAATAATCCTGGGTAGTTGTGGAGTGAGGAAGAAATATTATGATGGAGGAAACAAATATTTGTTGAATCTCTACTTTGTGCTATTCCCTGGGTGAGGTGCTGTCCCCATCCCGACCTCATTGAGAACTGAGTAACCTGCTGAGATCACAAACGGATGAACTGCCACTTAAACCTAGATGACCGTATGGAGAGCAGTTGGCATGATCCCCTCTTCACTGGGTAGGGATCATTGCCTCAGAAAGGAAAATACATGACACAAGCTAGAGAAATTACTTAGTGAGAACCAAGAGATGAAATAGGGTGACCAGAGAAAACAGTAAAACTCCATAATTCAGCTAGCCAAAGTCAGATGTCTAGACCAGAAAGAACTCAGGAGAACGGAACATGTTCCAAGGACAGCATGAGGTCCTTACAAGAAGAGCTTTTAAGGGAAGTAGTCGTTCTCCCATCTGAAGTTCCTGGTCACAGATTCTAGTTTGGCCATCCAA